AAACCATCCCATGCTCTCTGGGATGGAGGAGGCATGAACTGAGAGAACTTGTCTCTTCAACTTGGATCGTCTCCTCCTCACCCAGGAAGACACAGCGGCCTAGCGGTTAGAGCAAGAGCCATAGACTCATTGAATTCTAGAACTGGAAGGGACCCCCAAGGGCCATCCAGACCAGGCGCATTCTGCTATGCAGGAAGACACCATCAGAACAAGCCTTGTGAGAGAGGGCCCTCCAACCTCTGTTTGAAAACCTCCAAAGAAAGAAATTCATAGAATCCTAGAGTTGGAAGGGTTCCCCAAGGGCCATCCAGTCCAGCTCCATTCTGCCATGCAGGAAAACACTATCAAAGCACTCTCTGAGACAGAGGACAAAGAAGGAGACTCCACCAAAACCTCCATTGAGGGAGTGTGTTCCACTGTCTAACTGCTCTTACCATCAGGAATTTCCTCCTAATGTTTTGGTGGAATCTCTTTTCCTGCAGCTTGCATCCATTGCCCCATTATGTCCTAATCTCTGGAGCAGCAGAAAACAAGCTTGCTCCCTCCTCAATAGGACATCCCTTCAAATAGTTAAACATATCACCCCTTAACCATCTCTTCTCCAGGCTAAACATACCCAGTTTCTTACTGGGCACAAGAAGGCCCAATGGAATTCAGTGGGGCTTAGAATCCTAGAGTTGGAAAAGACCCCAAGGGCCATCCAGTCCAACCCCTTTCTGCCATGCAGGAACTCTCAATCAAAGCATCCCCGACAGATGGCCATCCAGCCGCTGTTTAAAGACCTCCAAAGAAGGAGACTCCAGCACTGTCCAAAGAGAGTGTTCCACTGTCCAACAGTTTTTTCCTAATGTAGATGTGGAACCTCTTTTCCTGTAGTTTGCATCCACTGCTCTGGGTCCTAGTCTCTGGAGCAGCAGAAAACAAGCTTCCTCCATCCTCAATAGGACATTTCTTCAAATACTTAAACAGGGCTGTCATATCACCTCTTAACCTTCTCTTCTCCAGGTTAAACAGACCCATCAATTCCCTAAGCTGCTCCTTATAGGACTTGGTGGTTTCCAGACCTTTGACCATTTTGGTTGCCCTCCTCTGGACATGTTCATCTTACATTAATAGCCCCAAAAGCTTGAAATGCAATTAAACTATGAGCACTAAAACAGTTGGAAACATACCCTTAAACATGTTTTTAAAAGCAGTTTAAAAATAATAATACAAGGGGAATTTTTTTTAAAAAAAAAGTTTCTAAAGTTTCATTTTTCAGCCCTCTCTGTTCCCAAGAATCCCTTCCACATTCCTCCAAGCAGGCCAACCTGAACAATGAAATCCCATGAATAAAGAAAGGACAAAGAGGCGAGGGAGAAGATTGGGAGATGTCTGTGTTTTGTGGCACCCTTAAAATGAACAGGTTTAATTTTAGCCTGAGTGTCCAGAGGTTTAGAGCCAGCATGGCATCGTGGTTGGAGCTTTAAACTAGAACTCTGGAGAACAGGGTTCAAACTCCAGCTCGGCCACGGAAACCCATTGGGTGATCTTGGGCAAGTCACACTCTCTCAGCCTCAGAGGATGGCAATAGCAAACCCTCTCTGAAGAAAGTTGCCAAGAAAATCCTATGATAGGTTCACCTTAGCATCAGAAATTGGAAATGACTTGAAGGCACCCTGATTTAATAATTGGCCCAGGGTTCAAATTCTGACTCAACCATGGAAACCCTCTGGGTGACCTTTGGCAAGCCACACTCTCTCAGCCTCAGAGGATGGTAATGGCAAACCCCTTCTGAAGAAACATGCCAAGAAAACCGCAGTCCAGAGGTTTGCTATCCTTTTCTTCAAATGCATGAAGGACATCAGTGGACCTTCAGATGGACTTGGTCGGAGGCCAGGAACTCCCAATATGCCAAACAGATCCATGCAAGAGTCCCTCCTCTCTCCAGATTAGATGTGAGTTCATTCTCCTGGCTTCTCATGGTTGTTCCCTGTGGGAATAGAACAGAACAGAACAGAACAGAACAGAATAGAATAGAATAGAATCACAGAGTTGGAAGAGACCCCAAGGGCCATCCAGTCCAACCCCATTCTGCCATGCAGGAACTCCCAATCAACGCAGCTCCTGTGACAGATGGCCATCCAGCCTCTGCTTAAAGACAAGGAGGTAGAAAGAGTTTTCCAAGTTCCTCCAAACCCAGCACACCTGTAAAGAAAGAACAGAAAGGCAGATTCCAGCTCAGCCTTAGGAAGAACTAAGAGCTGTGTGACAGACTGTGAAATGCACTGAATAGCAAGACCTTGGGGTGCATCTACACTGTAGAAATTGTTTGAAATTTGTTGTTAGACACCTTAAAGTCCCTATACCAGCAGAAAGGCCGGATGTAAATAAAATGAGGAGAAGGAGGAGGAGGAATAATGCGGTTTGAGACCACTTTATTTAATGCTGTAGCTCCATCCTATGGAATCCTGGGATTTGTAGTTTTACAGGGCCTTGAGCCTTCTCTGCCCAAGAGTGCTGGTGCCTCACAAAGCTACAAATCCCAGGATCCTGTAGGATAGAGCCATTGCAGTTAAAGTGTGTGTGGGGGGGGGGGTTCAAACTGCACTTTTTCTACAGTGCAGATGCATCCTTGGACACTTCCCTCCACTTCTTTGAAGGCCTTTAAGGAGAGATGGGTCAAGAATTGTTGAGCTGTGGATTTGGGCAGGCAAGGTGAACTAGATGACCCTTCGCTTCACTTTCAGCTCTTCTGTTTCTATGAAAGATGAGGAGGAAACAAGTTGCCATCCCTTTAACCAAGCAAACCCTCTTCTAGGTGCCTTCTTCCCAGTTTGGGAGAATGGTGGCCAGTGGCTTCCATGGAAGGGGGGCAGCAAATCTACTCCGGGCATTATTCCAGATTTTGAAGGAACCATTCAAGGTCCTGAACTTCTTTTCAAGGTCTGGGAGGAGAGGAGGAGGAGGACCTAAATGTCCTAAAAGGTCTTGGAAGCTAAGCAAGGTTCAACCTTCTGGAAGCTGAAGCCCCAAACACCCAAAGAACCAAAGTTTTGGGAATCAGTATTCTTCTTCGTGGTCATCTGCGAACTCGCACAAATGGCTTTTGTCTGAATAACCCATTTGTGTGAATTCGCAGATGACCACTCGAAGAAATACTGTTACAGGTGTCCATCTCCCCCAGCCCAGCAGATCTTCAGCCCAGGGCAAGGCATTCCTTCCCACGTGCAAAGGAGGCCAGCTGGGCTACACGTGTGGAGGGACCCTTTCCCTTCCTTTGCCCCCCCCCCTTTTTTTTT